ATTTAATCTCTATATAAGCACAAACTCTCTATAAGCACCAAATTCTTAAAACCAAGGGTGTGATTATAGAGAGGTTTAACTGCATTCGATATGTTGTATATGTCGTATACGTCGTATATATCATACAGTAAATGTCGAATATGTTGAATTTAGTGATATGTTCATTATATACACACTAGCAATGTAAAAGATATAAAAGACTCGCCTTTGTGCTTCAATAAAGAAAAAAACTGGCAGATTTTGAAACCTTCTAAGTTCTTTAATAGAAGTGTTTGGCTCTACTAAACTCTCGATAAATAAATCTGCAGTAACGATAGGAATTATTGACTAAATCCCGTGATTTCGTATTAAGAGAACCGTGACTTAGTCTAGAGCTCTAATTGACTCTAGTTACTCGGATCAAGTCTTCCCACAACTTGATAGAAGCCTTACCATGATTAAGTTTAGTTAGAGTAGTTTAGTTAGTATAAAGTGTAGTGGTATATTGTAATATTTGCATTATATAGATCCCAGAGCATTTCACACTTTCACAACGTACTTGTTTAATTATAAATATTTTCTACCATATATACTTGTAAATTATTCATCTTATGGAATTTACGTATATTATATTTATGAGTCTTTTATCAATTGCGCTTAGATATATGCACATCCTTCTGGCTGCTTTATTTAATATGAATGTGAAACAAACATATATAGTAAAACCTCTATAAGCGCACCCTCAATAAGTGCACACTCTTTCCAAATGCACACTCAAATTTTAGTCCAAAGATAAATAACATACCTCCATAAACGCACTTTTTCTTATTATTCTTTAAGTGTACATTATTAAGGTTTGGTTCACGAGCATGCACTTATAAAGATTTTGCTGCAACTTATTTTGATGTTAAAATCGATATATTGTAACAACAATAGAATTTTAATTAGGGATGGGGAAGTTTGACTTGGTTTGATTAATGCAGGATCTGCATATATTAGATTTAAAATTAAACCAAACCAAACTAAATCATACTCCTCATCCCTAATTTTAATAATTCCGTGTTTAATTTTTCTTGCTGAATAATTAAAAATACAAAAATGGATGTATTAATAAGTATTATTAATAATAATAAATATGAATAGACTTTTATAACTCGAATCATGATCATCCAGCATACTAAAATTAGTAAATTAAGGAAAAAGAAAACTCAAATTGATAGAGTTTTGTTGATACGACTATTACTCATAATAAGATTTGAAGAAATAGTTACTGGTCTTATTTTAATGCCTTTCTTTAATGAATAAAAATAAAATCATTATAAAGAATTTCTGTCACGGGACAAATGGTAAATTTTTCGAAAAATTCGAACAGCATTATGACTTAAATCCTCATGATTGAATAACGAAAATGTCACCGTGATCGAGTCTATTATTATTGTTCGATCAGAGACTTTATTGTTAAAACGAAGAAAAAAATATATAGGAATAGGTCCACTATCCTAAAGCTCTTAAATCGTGCTGAAATTATTGCCAGGAACATAATCTGATAACGCCTAAACCTTAAAACCCTAGTTCGAACGATTTCAAACCTAAGGATGTCCAACGGGATCAACAGTTACGGGACCAATTCCCTGTAGCACAATGTCAATTAACCATTAAACATACACCCACAGGAACTTAACTGATCAAATAACGATATACTAAGCATACTTAATTAAGTCTGGTCCTTGCACTGCTAATGCAGTCTCATTGCGCTATTCCAAGTCACTTAACAACAGAAAGGTAGAAACAGAAAGGTAGAGTCAGTCTATACAAGATGAGCGATAGCGAATAGAATAACCAACTGTCACCCGAAATATAATTCTTAAAGAGCCTTTAACTTGATTAAGCACTCCTACCCCTTCTACTTACCATTCACACGCACAATCATAATGTTAAACTTACTATTCACATGCTAAAAATAACCGTTAACACGATACTACTACCAGTTATTTGACATTCAAAGGATAATTATATCGATATGCAATCATAATTTACCCCACAATGTGTACCTGTATTCAACAAGAACCAAATACCATAATGAACACGACCATAAAAGGCTACGCAATTTACAGGTGATCTGCAATAAAGTCACCTGATCTCGCAATAATGAACGCAATGCCACTTCGTTGACAAGCTTATAGAAATTTTACACAAAACGACGGGACAGTCGTCCGAATAATGATAACCAACCCTGGTAAACAAATGCCAAATTCCAAATATTTTACATGTAAAAGGAAGCTTTGGTCGCTAAAGAACATAATATTTAGTGGTTGTAAATTTCTTATAATAAAATAGATAAGCTTTCGTTTAATGTAAAAAACCTTATTCCTTGTAATAGAATAATGACATTAGAAATACCTTTCTTTAAGGCGAACTTATATATATTTTTAAGGGTTTAGGCTGTGGGAAGAGAACTCATAGTTAAAAGTTTCATATGACCAAAAATATCATAAATTGAATCTATTATTATTACACATAGACTTGCCCTCACATATATTAAAATATTAAAGATATAATTTTCTATTATAATATTTCCCAATACAAACGTGCAAATTTTGTCATAGTTGTGTTAGTTGTGCGTCATTTATATTATTAAAAAAGTCTACGTAAGAATAAACAAATAAACGTATTGGCTTATTTTTATTGGTTCATTTTTATTAATGAAGATCAAATGCATCGGTAATATAAATACATGGTCCTTGTACAGCATTAAACTGAATTACAGAAATAGGCTTGCGGGTGACAAGGTCGCACAACATTTATTCTTGATACAAACAATCAATTTCACATGTAAATAGCGTTTTCTTTTCTCAGAATCTGCGGTGCTTGCTTTTTCATTCTTTCCCGTTCACTTTCCATGAAATTTTAAATATATAATTCATTCCTTCATACAAGTTCCTTTCTAGTTCTATTTATATAGAAAGTCTTGTTCGCAATGAGTGCGAATAGCATTTTGTGCTTATTTTTAATCATCCACATATCTTGCTTTACGGCAATAAATATTAAGACTGACAATAAAAAAAGCGAAAATGCTTTCATAACCACAGAATTTAATAAACCTTTTGATTCTTGGCAAGTTAATAATTATCAAATTCAAAATTTCACGGAAAGTCCTGTTGGTGACAATGATATCAATATCTTCCCTAGGATCGCTGCATCTACCTTATTTGCTATACCAACAGAAACAGAAACCACAAAAACTACACCGACAGTTGCTTTAGATTGTTGTGACACAGGTGGACCTGGTATCATAAATAAATTACCAGGTGCTTTTTATAGTATAAGTTATGATGCAGTAAGTTTAGAAGATTGCTGCAGAAAATGTTCTGCTGATTCCGCTTGTATTGGATGGGGATATAACATTAAAACTAAAACATGCTTTGCCGAATCAATAAATGATCCAGACGCAGAGGAATTTTGTAAATATTCTGCAGATCACTATGCAAATTTTGTTGGGGGAAGACCTGGGTGTGGTGGTTGTAGAGCCAAGATTTAAAATACCTTAACCTTTAATATGGTAGTTCTGTAAATGAGAAAATTAGAATAATGGTGCTTAAATAAAATATTTTCTGAAAAATCTTGATTAATTTTTTTGATTATTAGTTTTAGTTTTACAGAAATATAAATATTATATGATGCTTTGTATTGTATTAAAATTAATTTAAACTTAATATGCACTGTGTCGAAATATTGAAATATTATTTAGTATATTGAATGATTGATGAAGTTTTGCAAAAGTTTAAATGCTTAAAATTTCAAATAATTTACCGTTTTTTCAAAACATAATGTAAACTATAATGTACAGACTAAAACATTCAATTTTTTCAATATTTCCCGCACAAATGCTCTGGTGTAAAAACGGTGTGTTTATTAATTAATTCAATGTGAACTTTTTAAATTTCTGTACTGCTCGTTATAAATGTAGAGTATGTATACGTACTTGAAATTTTTTCCTGTGACATTGATCTATACTATACGTATCTTAAAGTCAGTACACTTACAGTAAAAAATTATTGATTACAAATATTTACAAACCGATAATTTTATATGTATAATCAATGAATAGTTAGTTCGAAATTGATATACCGTAAGTTACCGAATAGAAACAACCAAACTGTTGTAAAAAAAATGATAATTTTTTCGAGGCAAAGTGAAGAGGTCACTTATACTCGGTTCTAATTTTATAACAACCTTAATCAACTGTTGGATCCAAAATCTGAAGGTTTTTGCTTTTGTTCGGTGATTGCTTTTAATCAGTAACATAAAGTATATTATTTGAGGGTTGCCAAAAGAAAACATACACATTTTAATTTAGGCTTTATTTAAATGTGTATATTTTCTTTTTGCGACACTCATTTATGAGTTAAAAATTGGTATTTGGTGAAATTTATTAAGCAGTATAAATTTATATATCTTTCTATCTATATATAGAACAAATGTCTGTCTGTTCAATTAGCCAATCAAATATTCCTAACATAGTCAAACAAGTATAACGATAGGGCTTAAATCAATTGTTTTTTCATCCACAAATCAGATAG